AGCAGAGACAATGCCTGCGTTAGGTGTGAAGCGGTGGGGGAACTGCTTAACCTGATGGCAGCATGGGAGGAGGAGGTAGAAAAGCTAAGGACCATAAGAGACTGCGAAAAAAAAAAAAAAGAGATAGATTGGTGGAGTAAGGCCCTGAAATCATCTCAAGAAGTGCATCGGGGGAGCACTCCTAATCCATGTGAGGATCCCCTCTTGCTGCAGGACAAAGGGAGCAGAACTAAGAAACAAGGAAGAATGGAAACAGGTCCCTGCTAGGGGGCAGAAGGATCCCTGTGCTGCCCACCTGGCCTCCCCAGGTGACCGTATGCAATGGGTATGAGGCCCTGGAACTCGAGGGACAGGCAAATGAGGGCACAGACCAAGGTTATCTAGGAGGTTGTGTAGGGTGAGGCAGTTGAGCCCATGCCTTGAGACTGCCGTAACTGAAAAGAAGGATAACTGTGGTTACTCACAATCGGCAGCCATTGTTCTTATGGGAGACTTCAGCCTACTGGATGTTTGTTGGAAATACAATAAGGCATGTAGGAAACAGTCTAGGAGGTGGGTGGAGTGTGTGGGAGATGACTTCCTATCACAGCTGGTAAGTGAGGCCTACCGGGGAGGTGCCCCACTGGACCTACGCTTTACCAAGAGAGAAGGACTGGTGGGAGATGTGGTGGTCAGAGGCACAGTGACCACAAAATGATAATGTTTTCAGTACTTGGTGAAGTCAGGAGGGGTGTCAGAAGAACTGCTACATTGGACTTCTGGAGCACAGACTTTGGACTGTTCAGGGCTTTAGAAGAGTCCCTTGGGAGACCCTCCTGAAGAGCAAAGGCATCCAGGACGGCTGGACTTTTCTCAAGAAGGACATCTTAAGGACACAAGAACATGCCATCCACATGTGCCAAACTATTGCTGAGACTCCAAGGAAAAAAAAAAAAAAAACGGTTTGGAAGAAGGGGGGCAGGCAACTTGGGAAGAGTCCAAGGATGTTACCTACTAGGGTATGTAGGGAGGAAATTAGAAAGGCAGAAGTGCGGATGGAACTCAATCTGGCCACCGCTATAAAAGACAGCAAAAAATGTTTCTACGAATACATTAACAATAAGAAGAGGGCCATTCTTTACTGAATGTGGTGGGGAATACTGTCGCCAAGGATGATGATAAGGCTGAGGTACTTAATGCCTTCTTTGCCTCAGTCTTTAACATGCAGATCAGTTATCCTCAAAGTACTTGGCCCACTGAGCCGGAAGACACCTATGGAGAGCAGAATAAACCCCTCATAATTCAGGAGAAACAATCAGTGACCTGCTACTCCACTTGGATGCTCACAAGTCTAGGGACCAGATGGGAACCACTCCAGGGTTGTGAGCTGTCAGAAGCACTCACCAGGCCACTCTCTGTCATCTGTCAGCAGTCCTGATCAACATGGGAGGTCCAAGATGACTGCAGGCTTGCCCTTCTTTACAAGAAGGGTCAGGTAGAGAATCTGGGGAACTACAGGCTTGTCAGCCTGACCTTGGTATCGGGGGAGGTTGCGGAGCAGATCATCTTGAGGGCAATCACACAACATGTATGCATCAACCAGGGGATCAGGCCCAGTCAACATGAGTTCATGAAAGGCAGGTCCTGCCTGATCCATATGTTCTCCTTCTATGATCAGGTGACTTGCCTAGTGGATGAGGAAAAGGCTGCAGACGTGGTCTACTTAGGCTTCAGTAAGACCTTTGACAGAATCTCGCACTACATTCTCTTGGAGAAGCTGGCAGCTTATGGCTTAGAAAGGTATATTCTTCACTGGGTGAAAAACCGGCAGGATGGACAGGCCCAGAGAGTGGTGGTGAGTGGAGTTAAATCCAGCTGGTGACTGATCATGAGTGGTGTTCCCCGGGGGTCAGTGTTGGGGTTGCTCCTCTTTAGTATCTTTATTGATGATACGGATGAGGGGATTGAGTGCACCCTCAGTAAATTTGCAGATGACACCAAGATGGGAGGAAGAGTTGATCTGCTTGAGGGTAGGAAGGCTGTACAGAAGGATCTGGACAGGCTGGATCGATGGGCTGTTGAACTGTGTGAGGTTCAACAAGGCCAGGTACTGGGTCCTGCCCTTTGCTCACAACCCCATGCAGTGCTACAGGCTTGGGGCAGAGTGACTGGAGAGCTGTGCAACAGAAAAGGATCTGGCGGTGTTGGGCAACAGTCGGCTGAATATTAGCCAGCAGTGTGCCCAGGTGGTCAAGAAGGCCAACAGCCTCCTGGCTTGTACCAGCAGTAACGTAGCCAGCAGGACCAGGGAACTGATTGTCCCCCTGTACTCAGCACTGGTGAGGCCACACCTCAAATACAGTGTTCAGTTTTGGGCCCCTCACTACAAGAAGGACATTGAGGTGCTGCGGCATGTCCAAAGGAGGACAGTGAAGCTGGTGAAGGGGCTGGAGCACAGACTTCATGAGGAGCAGCTGAGGGAGCTGGGCTTATTTACTCTGGTGCAGGGGAGGCTCAGGGGAGACCTTATTGCTCTCTACAACTACCTGAAAGGAGGTTGTAGTGAGATGGGGGTCAGTCTCACCTCCAGAAAAACTACTGAAAATAGGACAAGAGGAAATGGCCTCAAGTTGTGCCAGGGGAGGTTCAGGTTAGATATTACGAAAATTTTCTACACAGAAGGAGTGGTGAAGAACAGGAATAGGCTTCCGGGGGAAGTGGTGGAGTCACCATGTCTGGCAGTGTGGAAGAAATGTGTAGATAAAAAAATCAGCAGGCAGGGTGTTGAAGGGTTTACGGTTGCACTCGATGATCTTGAAGGTCTTTTCCAACCATAATGATTCTGTGATTCTATACATACAGTTCCTGGATAAACAGATATAATGGTGAAACAACTTCATGTTACAGTGCTTTGCAAGAATGTTTGATTTGAAAAAGTGTAGAAAAGAGAAGCTCTTGTTTTCACAGAAGTGCTCTGTGGAACATACTTTGGCTTGTCTGGCTTGTTCTGCAGACTCCATGTGTATCAGAAGTAGCTTTATATCATTAACCTATCTAGAGCAACAAAAAGGGAAAATTTGTAAATACAGTGTTAACATTTTAATACTATTAGTGCTGTAAAAACATGTAATGAATCATTGATGTCAACTTTTCCAAGTATAATTCTATCTATATTTTATTTCAATTAATCCAGTTCCATTAAAATATTTTATACATTCTTGCATATATGAAATAAATACTTTATTTTCAATATAGATGAGTACCATCTAAATAAGTCTCCTCTTCTATGAGATTAATGCATATGAAATTGAACCATACTGTTTCCCTAGAAGCTGAGGCTTCGTCCTTGAAACAAAGCATTTATCCTCCTTTATCGTGGCTGTTGAAATAGCACAAAAGAAATCAGGTGTCATGTTGCTTGTTTCTAGTTTGCTAGCTATTCACTGAAAAAAACCTTGAGGTAACTCCTATAATTCACAGAAATCTTAGTTCTCCAGTCTGTAACACAGGTAAAACATTTACCATTCTCATCAGGATGTTAGGCAGCCCTCATTACATAGTTAACAATGGTAGAAGGTGTTGAGATTTCTTCTGGTAGAGAAAGTGGCATAAAATAGTGTTTTCTAATTTTATGTTTTTGTAAATCTTTACTCTTGGATCTGTTTGGGATTTGCCTACATAATTTGTGTTCTAACTTAGGAGTAATTATGATAACTGAAATGCCAGTGCGATTAACTGTTTTAGAAATGAATCATGGATGTGCATGCAATTATTGCATGGGTGTGCAATAATTGAACTTACATGGTAAAGTGGGACTTAATTAGCATTGATGTATTGGTATATTGCTTTACAATTCTCTGAGGATGTGCATCTATTGAATAATTAATCCTGCCAACATGTAGGTGAGTGAGACTAGTGTAGCTATGTGTGTTTTGTGGATGGGTGAAGTCATGAAAGAGAAAAAGGGGGTGAAAAAAATTGTCCATGAAAACACAGAGTGCCAGAAACAAAACTTGAATTATATGTGATCTTTTCAGGCTTTTCATTTCTTTGGTGAACACTTTTATCTTTTGTGTGGTGGTACATCATTTGTTCATGACATACTTCAGTTTTTTGGCCTGTATTTGTTATGCGCTAAAGGAAATTAAACAATTTTAATTTTTTTTCCTTCACTGAAAGACACGCCATTAATGATTTTCAAATTAGGTGAAGAATAATAGTAGTTCCTTTCATACACACACACACACACACACCCACACCCCCACCCACAAACACACAGTTTTAGGTGGAGGGTTATCTTCTTTGAACTGATAACTAGTTTCAATCATCCATTCTAAATAAGTATTTTCTGGAAAAATAAAGAAGATGACTATTAAACGATGCTGTTGGGTTAATATGAATGGACATATTCACTTTTCTGCTTTCTGCCTCTTCCTAGAACCATATTAAGAAAGATTGATTTAATTACTCATCTTCTAATAGATGAAATCGGGCAGAAAATCAATTGGGTGGCTTTTTATATGTATTTTAAACTTTAATTTATTTTTAGAAAGTAGTTAACTACAAAATTCTTCTAAAACTGTTATTCTAGCAGCTAAAATGAAAACTCTACATAAAGTTTCTATGACTGGAAACTCAGCTGCCTAGCTCCATAATGATTTAAGAATATTCTTGGATTTTTTTCAAAAGAGAAGATTAAATAGAAATGCCTTCTCTGCAAGGTGTGGGAGAAATAGCAGGTTTTTTAGGCTATTTTATTGTTTGAGAATGGATCTATAAAAAACTTTATTGAAGGGATATTCAATCAAGAAATGAGCTTAAAATTAGCTTTGAAAGTGATGATATCTGTTAAGAACTTAATCTTTTGTAGAAGTATATTCTGGAGTATAATTAGACCTACTTTGCATATGGAATACTGTTTTAAATAGCAATATTAAAAACACTTAACAGTTGTTTCACAAATATCTATTACTTCTTTCTGCAGATTTCAAATGTAGCTTTTTCCTTTTTTCTTTCAACAGTATTACCTAGTCATACTTGTGGCAACCCAGGTGAAATTCCTAAAGGAGTACTTCACGGAACAAGATTCAACATTGGAGATAAAATCCGCTATAGCTGTATCTCTGGTTATATCCTAGAAGGCCATGCCATGTTGACATGTATCATGAGTCCTGGAAATGGTGCATCGTGGGATTTCCCAGTTCCTTTTTGCAGAGGTAAAAATGAAACCATAAAACATCCTTAAAATGTTAATCAATATTAAAAAAATGGGGAAGTCCAATGCACTTTTTAAAAATTTATACCATCTAATATTGTAGTCACAACTGAGAAGCAATGGTTGTCCAGAATTCCCAGATTTTATTTACTGTTTTTTCCTCCCTTTTTATTTACATTTGGAATAGCTGTAGCAATTGTATGGCATGTTTTGGCAAATGCTTTGCAAGCTTCTTCTCTTGATAACATTCTATGAGGCAGGAGTAATATCGATTCTTGAGCTATAGAATAAGAGGAGGGAAAAAAAAAGCCAGAAAGGGCCACTGGGTGTCATCTAACCACCATCCCCAAGCTCCTGCCCCCTCAGAGCAGACATAACTTAAAAGTTAGGTCAGGTAGCTCAAGTTTTTGCACAGTTGAGATTTTTAGAACTCTGAGGACCGGGATTTCCAGCTGCTTTTCTGAACTTCTCGATATTCCTGTCTGCTCACTTTTCCATCTCACCAAGCTCTGTCTGAATGGCATTTCTGCCCTTCAGGGTGCTGTATGCACCTTTTAATGATGTGTTCAGTCCTCTGTTCCAGAATCCTGATAAACATGTTTCTGTCCCATTATGAATCACTGGGGATCGCCCAGTAACTGACCACTAATTTGACTTCGATTCACTACCCCCAGTACTTCGATCCTGATGATCCAGCCATTTTTTACTTGCATTTGAGTCAGTTCATCCAGTCTCTTTCCCCTAAATTTGGCTAGAAGGATGTAATGACAAGCTGTGTAGAAAATCTCATTAAAGTTAAGCTAAATCCAACAGTCAGTCTCATCAAAGATGACAATCATTTTGGCACAAAATGACATGCCCTTGGCAAATGTGTGCTGGCTGTTTGTAATAATTTCTTCTCCTTCACATGCTTCAAAATGACTTTAATAAAGATTTCATAATTTTCTGGAAGTGTGAGGGATGCCTGGTAGTTCTACTGTAGTCAGAATCCTTATTCTTTTTTGAAATTGAGAAATGATATTTTAGGTCTTTTCTAGTAATTGGGAATTGCCCTTCATTGTCACTGTCCAAAAATGTTAAAATAATGGCCTCACGCTGGCAACACTTAGTTTCATGCCGCTGTGTGCCATGAGCTTGTACATGTCTAGTTTAGGTATGAATTGTCTAAATAGATCCTTCCTTGCTGTGGATACTGCATTTCTACACAAAGCTTTACCACAGTGAAGCTTGTGACAAACTACCACACTGATCAGAAGGCCACCATTTCCCTCATTTTCTTTTTGTTGTTGTATAGAAACTATTCTTGTTGCTCTTCACATTCCTCACCAGTGTTCTTCACATTCTTCACCAGTGTTATTTCATCTGCACTTTGACTTTCCTAGTTCTGCCCCTGTGCAATATTTCTATATTCCTTTTGGAGGTTCTTCCTCCTTCTACCTCTTCTATACTGTTTTTTTTTTTTTTGCATTTAAGTAAAAATATCTCAGTCAGGAATTCCCTGTTCAGCCACAGCAGCTTTCTCTGATGCCAACTCATTTATTTACATAAGGAATGGAAAGAAAGTTGCCCTTGAAGATAAATAAGCTCTTCTGGGCTTCTTTCCTTTCAAGGGCCTTCTCATCCCAAGAGATCTTGTCTGACACTTGTGAAACAAATTGAAATCTCTTCTCTTGAAATCCAGGGAGTTTATTCTATTAATTGCATCATGTCCCTCAGGATAATTAACTCTTGACTGCTTAAGCCCAGGCTACCACTGACTTATCATTTCTTTGAATGGTTCCTTGTTTCTAGCCTAGTTTGCCTATCACACTTACGTGGTAGGTTGGAAGTGACTGTGGGAATTAATCTGGTCCAAGCCCTTGCTCAAGCAGAGTCTTCTAGACTTAGAGTGGGTTACCAAGGACCATGTCCATCAGAGTTTCAAATATCTTTGGAGAATGGAGACTTCATTACCCCTTTGCCTGATCCCAGTGACACCATAGATCTTTGACTTAGGCCCCATTCCAGTTCCTCGAGTTGGCTTCCAAAGCTGCACGTCTCTGTATACAATCACTTGAACTGGCTCCCCAAAATTGTGGTGCTTTCCCAGGAAGAGTGAGGCAGTTTAGTTACCATATCCCACTTGGGTTTCCCTGTGTCTGTTCCCCAACTTAACTGTGGGCTTCAGTTTCCATCCCTGACAAATTTAGTTTAAAGTTCTCTTTGCTAGATTAGCAAACCTGTTTGTTAGCAGAAATATTCTTATCCTGTTTAGTCAAGCAGATCCCCTGTCTCCCCTGCAGTCCTTATTCCTTAAAGAGTGTCCTTTGACCAGGGAGGTAAAGATCTGCTGCTGAACACCAGCTGCTTCATCAGGTGTTTGTGTGCAGGATTCTGCCACTGCTGCTTTAGAGAGAACCCTTGCAGGACTCCTGTGCCCTTCACCCCAAACCTAGAGCCTGCTAATTACCTTTGCCTGCTCAGATCCTCCTGTGCTGGTATTATTGGTGCCCATGTAGATGGATAGGAAGGGTAGTAATTGTGTTCTGTAATAATTTATTAAGTTTTCTTTTGACTGAAAGGTCTTGCCATGTAATTCCTCAGAGTAAAGAAATATTTTATAAATTTCTGTTTTCAAAAAATCCCGCAAGAGTAGTAACAACAAAAACAGTGAAGATCTGGATCATACCTGTTGCTTGTACTTGATTTCAAGCAGTATGCATTGGAGATTTCTTTAATCACTGCTTTGAAAACAGGAAGAAAACACACCATTTTTCTAACCTTTCTGTTGTGTGAGCTGAGATTTTCTTAGTCCTTCTAATAAGAATTAGTAAAGAGATTTCAGAAAAACATACATATTTTAACTTCATGGTTCCTTTGAGGATGATATTCAGTTTGAGAACAGTCTTTTTTCTTTTTTTTTTATTAGCCCTTAGTGTCTAGTAAATATTCATTCTATTTGCACAGATGCTACTCATTCTGGCAGTGTTCCCTGCTTTAAGTACAGGAAATGTGATAGCACATGTGCATTCATATGAGACGTTGCAACATGAGACAGTTCATATGAGATGCTAGCATGATTATGGATTTTAAGCATTCCTTATTTTGTTTCATTTCGTTATTCGAGAATGTATTCTATGGGGTAACCCTTTTTATATACTAATTTTTCAAACTAGAAATGCTATGCACATGTTTTCTTCAAGTGTTTGCCATGAAAGCACCTTTTGTTACTGTTTTGTTTCCAGATGGTATTCTTCTTTCTAAGTCCACATTAACTACATTCATGGCATCCATGCAAGATAGTAAACAAAGCTACATGTGATTTTTATATAAATTCATTATACCCTTATTCTCCACAGCCTGTTTCATTAGTTTTCCTGATGCTTGCAAATGACTATTTTCTACAATTTTGCTGCTTAATATTTTTAGGAACATTAGATAGATTGTGTCAAGTAATTTTTATACTGTATAACTATATAAATGCTGCTTCTAGGAGAGAAATTCCTACTGAGTTACTAGGCCTCGAGGAATATGTAGGTATCATAGGGTCTTGCATCAGTAGAATTTTCTCTGGATGCTGCTGGATTTCAGATGTCCTCTCTTTAAAGTATAGTGCAAAAGAAAGTAGGAACAGAAATATGCTGCAGATTCTTTGATGACTTATGGTGAATTGTAGTGACAAAGCAAACGTGTAGCTAATGTCATTTTAAAAAAGTTCAAGAATTTTGATGGCATTTGAATGGAATTTTGGTGGTTAAAATGGCATTTATTTTATGCTGTTTTCTATTTTTTTTCAACTAATCATGATGTTGGGGCTGACATTTTCTGGAAAATATGGCAACAAAAAATGTAGATAACTTTTTTAATGGCGAATTCAAGATAAAAATGATAGAAAACATCAAAAAAAAAGTTCAGAATAGGAGAAGTAATTACTAAAAAAAAAATCCTCCTTTCTAAATAGTAAGATTGACTGTGGGTATTTCTCCTTCTATTACAAGTTAATCATGAAAGTTACAATGGGTTCCCGAAAAACATAGGGTATCGTAGCTGGTACATCAAAGTTGATAGCGTGAATCCCCCTAAACTCTGCACCTCTTCTGATTTTTTGTCTTGTGAAGAAAAAGGGTCTTTGCCTCCACCTTGCTGCGGTAATAATGTCACCCAGAGCATTAGCCTTCTTCCATCTTCAAGTTGAAATCCTGTGCAGTATGAGTCTGAAACATTTTGAGTAGTAATTTCATTCTCTGCAGTAACTCTACCAATAGCTGATTTATCATATGTGACTACTTCTAAAAAGAACTTTGTATAATTAGGTTCTCAATTCTCAGTAATTTTGAGAATCCCTAGTTGATTATAGTTGCATGAGCCTAGATTTTTATGAAGCAAGCATCAGGAATACAAATTAGGTTAGTGATATTATAGTTGTAGGCTTTTTCTCACACTGAAAATAGCTATGAGGAGACAAATATGTAATATGTTATCGCTAAAAAGACAGGCAATTATTAGAGGGAAAATAAAAAATAAATATGAGACAAACCAGTGGAGGAGATCACATGTCAGAAAAGCTCAAAAGGATCAAAAAATAATTATTGGGTTAAAAATGGTTATTGGAGAAACGCTATGGGAAGAATATGCAATCAAAAAGGAATCCTTAGAACAGATGAAAGGAGAAAGGAAGAACAGTTTATAGATCAAAGTGACACATTATATAGATAAACTGAATACAGAGATTTTAAACTAATGTTTTTAAACGTCTAGCAAAGAGGAATGGAAGTTTTTGGTGTTATCCACACTTTTTAAAGTAACAAGTAATTCTCTAATGTCATTGTAGTTTTTACTCTGACATTGAGACAAATATGATTTTACAAGTTTAAGGAGGAGAAAAAAGATATGGTGATCTCATCATTCATCCATATTATGACTATTTTATAAAACACATTGTCTAGCTAATACAGTGATGGTCACTGAACTAAACTTAGAATAGGATGAAGATAGGAGTGTTTATTCCAAGTCTGACCCGAG